CGGACTGGTTTTGCTCTGTGTACACGTGGTTATTGAAACATAATCTCTTAATCATTATGCAATTTATGAGAATGTAGACCAAGAGTAGCCATGACGAAATATTTGATTTGAACCATGCAGAATGTGTGCGTAGTCAATACTGTAATGATAAAAGGGGTTTATAACCTCACGCATTATTATGAAAAAATAGAGACATCTTTTGTAAGATTTTTTTTTCACATTATTGATCACCAATCAGAACATGTTGTTGTTTTATAGCTGTTTGGATAAATATTTAACACAAGTAATATGCTATTTGAGTGTGAAAAATGAAGATGGTAAATGATCTCCATTGAGGATCACTAATTTCTTAAAGAAGATCTACTGGTTGTTTCTTTTTCAGTATTCTGTCTTGAGAGTTCGACAGCAAGCTGTAAGAAATTAATAATGTAGAGTAAATAATAAAATCTGTTAATTTATTGACATTAAGTATTCTTAAGTATTATGGTTTAATTCACGATTTTATTAAAAAATGTGATTGCAATTTATGCTTTTTTAATATATGTATATTTGTATATAAGGTGTGTAGGATATGAACATAGGTAGCTTTTTTGTAATGAGCTTGAAACAACTGCTAGTTTTTAAATTAAACTCAATTGTACGCTTTTTGGTTTATATGGGAGGTTTAACTATACGATTTAATTGTCTTCCTTTAGAAAATCTTTTACTTTTTTAATTCCTTACTAAATTAGAATAAAGTTGGCTTTCGTAGGTTAAGAACGTCAGTTACACCTATATCATTAGGTTATTGTATAATATTATAAACATCAACTAGAAGATCTGAAACATTAATAAGTTTTTTAGGTCTTCTTTAAATTTATTTTATAGTTATGTTGCATAATAATCCGCTAACTAAAGTTACTTGTATGCAGGAATAAAATCTATAAAAGTGAGATTTTTTCACCGTTTTGCTTAAATATAATTTAAATAATATGATGAATTCTTAAATATGAATTAATATAAATCAGATAAAATTAATCTGATGAATTTTTAATTTGATGTGCCTAACACACTTTTAAATTGTGTCTCAATATTTTTTCTGTGAAAATTAATATTTTTTATTCTTTACACCTTGGTCAGATGGTCCTTTTTTTCTTACCCACATATAGGCTTTTTGAGTAGTTATATAAAAATATCTGTTGAATCTAACATAAAAATACATCTTATAGAACATTTAAATAACGTATATTTAAAAATTATATTAAGGTCTTGCAAACTAAACAACAGTGCTCATAACCAAAAAAAAAACTAACAACAAAAGAAAATATCTTTGTTATATTTATAATTTATATAATATTTTTAGTTTATATGCTTTAAATATTTAATCAGATCTGCTTATAAAAATTGATTTTCTAGATTTTGGCCATACATCTTAGATTCACATCTTACGGCATCACGGTTATTACGGTTATTTTTCTTTTCAAAATGTTACTACAAGTATAATAGCTATTATCAGTGATGAAAATAACATAATTCCTGTAGCGTTGCGTTTATAAATAAAATATGTGTGAAGTCGAATTAATGTTATTTTAACATTTGTGCTATTTAGAGGTTAGTTTTCAGCCGTTGACAATCTCAAAAATTGAATTGCTCGAATTTTGCTTTTCCACAATTTCGAACATACCAGCACATTCAGAGCAATTGAGAAAATGTGATTTATTAAAATAAAATAGATGCACTAAGAAAACATAATCTTCTGGTTATTTGTAGCATTTTATGTTATGTTTTCACGGCGGACTGATAACATAACATAGCTATTTCATGCGAGAATAGGCCCATTAATTTTTAACAAAATGTACTAATACTAATACTAATAAAAATGTACTTCAAGTAAATGTAATTTACAACAAGTCTAATTCATTTGATAGTAATTGTTCTACTAATTATTAATTAGATGCTCAGAATGTTTGCAACCTCTGCAATGGATCACTGAGCTAATTTTGCGTCTTGCAGTGCGTAAGCTATGTAAACAGTGTCTGCAAATACATATGATATTTGCATAAGATCCGAGTGCGTTTTAGAATTAATCGTACTATTACCGAATGCACTTTAATTGAAAATTATTATTAGTAAGGATAATTAAGTTTTACCCTAAAAATTAGTAGGTTCATCTATATTCATCGTAATTAATCACTGATTATGACCTATCAATACATTAAGATGCAAATTTGTTGTTGTTGTAAGTAAGTGTTGTATTTAAGAACTGACGTCTTTTCAAAACGTGAATGTTGGGGTTATAAGAAGAATATAATACATATTTGAGTTCGACCGATGTTTTTTCGTACGGTATAGAAGAAGGCACAAAAAACTTGTGAATTGAAATGGGTCTTTCTTTTCCATATTACTATTTCATATGCTATCGGTTAGCTTTTTTATCCCCATTTCGAAGAAAAACTCTACTCAGAATAGATGAATTTTTGCTTTGCTGCGCTATATTTTATATGGGTTCGCGGTAAGTAAGCGGTTAAGAGCGACGGGTCTTGATTCGGAGGTCCCGGGTTCGAGTCCACTTCGAACAGCCTGTTGTCAAGCAGTAGTGACTACGGTTTTCACTTGGAAATATGGATAGCAATATGTTTCCAAGTGAAAATAGCCCTTGCCCGGCATTGCTGCACCAATAAAAAAGTCAGCCCTATTATATAAATTCTAATAATAAAATCATCAAATATGGAAAGATTCACCATTGGGTTACTATCTAAAAATTCGAAGTTAGGGAAAGTTTCAGGCCAACAGCTCATAGGACGTAAGGTTGTGAATGCTGTTAAGATATAAGAATAAAAAAAATTATATAACAATGTGTATATATAAACATAAATGAATGAATAAAATCCTTAAAGGCATAACATCAAATAAAAAAGAGAATGCAGGCTCTGAGTCTTTTCTCAAAAAATAGTTAAATTTTATTACAGTTTTAATCAATCAGAAATATTTTTGTTTGCATAATTACTTGCACTTTTAGTGTGTGCTTGTGTTAATGATTTGTTATAAATGTATTTTATGCTTGCCCTCTAATCTGTTTAAATCTTTTGAAGGTAGTGTAAAAATATATATCGAAGCGCATGGAAAAATAAAAATTCTTTAAATTTTTTTTCTATACTTGATGTTATGTCTGAATGTAGTGTTAAGATTATAGTCTTATATTTCAACATTAAAATTATATATATATATATATATATGTATATATGTGTATGTGTGTTACTGTGTGTTTGTACTTGTTAATGAATTTTGTTAAATTACATTTATATTTGCTTTGCCCAAATGAATTTCATATTTACTGAAGAGAATATACCGTGACAGTAACTTGTATTCATTGTTGGCATGCAAAGTTTTAAATTGTTATTTATTTTCTCTATTATTCGAAAATATTGTTTTATATGCATGATTATTTTCTTATCTATTTATATAAATTACTCTACTTAAAATGTTTTGAAACTAATTTGTTAAATTGTGTAGAAATGACATTAAATTGGAATAACCTGAAATTACTTACTTTTGAGATATATGATTACATAGGTAATTCGTTCAATGCACAGTATTCCAAATAATTTATTTTTCATTAAGAATTATAATGAATAAACTTGAATTAAGTGTATTTAATAAATAAAAAATAATATCAATAAGAGATCTCGCATCAGATTTCATTTGTCGTTTTTAATCAGTTTATTTGCTGACCCAATAGCCTGAATTGACCCGTGGATACTCGATCAACTGCTCCCAAGAAAACTATAAAGGAGGCTATGAGCCTATAAAGATTCATTTATGCAAATTGGATGTTAAATCAAAGTTCAAATCCTCATTCCAATTCCATTCATTATTAATAATTCAACGATTCTTGAATAAAATGATTAAACGAAGAAGCAATCTATTGCTGTTTTTGCTTGTTTATATATGATAGTGGATTTAACTGTCGAAGGGAGATCTGTGAACTTAATTTATATCGTCTTTAAATCGGTCAGAAAAAATGATATTTAACGAAAATGTGGGGTTGTTTAAATAATATCGAATTATGTTGTAATTTTATTGTAGTTGAAGTATTTGAAAATATCAATTTGTATAATTTTATTATAAATCTTGAAACCGATATATATATATATATATATATATATATATATGTATGTATATCTTGCATATAAAATGTTCATGACACAATGTTCACTTCTCCGAAACGGCTTTACCGGTTTTTAACAAATTTTATCTTTGCTTTAGTTCTGAGATTCGGCTACTGCTGAGATTTATTTTTCATACCCCTAAGCCCATTCTTTTTTTTTAATTTTTGGACGAATTTTGTTGTTTTTATTGTTTTATAATCTGGCATTAAAAATACATACAACCCTACATTTTTACTTTTTTATTACCATCTCCTTATTTTTCTCATAATTTTAGATCCCTATTGAGTATTATGTAGAAAATTCTATTAATATTTATATTCGATTACGCGTTATTTTAATATTATAACACGTAGAATTTTTTAGATGTCACTAGCAATACGCCTACCTATATCATTTCACAAATAAAATGTCAAAATCAATTTTAAATTGATTGCAATTTGTTAAATAAAAGCTGAACTATCAAAATGTGCTACGATTTATAGCCTAAAAAAGTATTAAATTTATTTCTTATTTTAAATTATTAAACTTGACTACAAATATTTCTATATACTCGAATTCACAATTTTTGAAATGGGGGCTCGGTAGTTTTGAGAAAATTATCAGTGAAAGTAGTTTTCGTAGAAATTTGGAAATTTTGCAATAAACCATATACAGTTTTCCAACTCGGCTTTTTAGCGTAAACGAGGTTCCTTTTGGATAATAGATGCTGCGTTAGGAAGCGATTAAATATTAAAAAACTTATTTGCATTTACTATATCTGATTTTGGGCTGGTTGACGAGCAAGAAAAACGTGGAGAGACGTGCCTCAACTGAATTTCTTCTGCATGAAAACAAGTAAGATAAACTATAAAAATGTCGATCGAAAGGATTTCTGACTGGTATGTTGACCTTATGGAAAACCAAAGTGATCCGAGAGTAGCTAATTGGCCGATGATGTCGTCCCCATTACCTACTATAATGTTATGTCTAGGATATGCCTGGTTCAGTAAATCTATAGGACCAAGACTCATGAAGAATCGACCAGCTTTTAACTTGAGGCGTATTCTGGTGATATATAATTTGTTCCAAACACTTTTTAGCGCTTGGATATTTTATGAGTACTTACAAAGTGGATGGTGGGGACATTATAGTTTTCGCTGTCAGCCTGTAGATTATTCAAACAGTGAAATTGCTTTAAGGATGGCTAATACCTGCTGGTGGTACTATTTTTCGAAATTCACAGAATTCTTTGACACCTTATTCTTTATTCTGCGGAAGAAAAATGAACACGTATCAACGTTACACGTTATTCATCATGGATGTATGCCCTTTTCAGTTTGGATGGGTCTTAAATTTGCTCCAGGTGGCCATAGTACATTCTTTGCCTTATTAAATACGTTTGTCCATTTAATAATGTATTTATATTATATGGTTGCTGCTTTGGGACCTAAATATGCCAAATATATATGGTGGAAACAGTATTTAACAACACTACAAATGGTTCAATTTGTAGTAATTATGACACACCAATTCCAATTGTTATGGACGGAATGTGATTATCAACGAGCGTTTATGGTCTGGATTGCCTTACATGGAGTCATGTTTTTCTTTTTGTTCTCAGACTTCTATAAACTAAAATACTCTATTAAACCAAAAGATAAGAAATGTAAAGTAAATAAGAAGAATAAGAAATGTATAGAGCTCAAGCCATTACCAGCAACAAATTTGAAAAGCCCTTATGCTACGAATGGACATATATATGAGAAAAAAAATAGAAATAATAGAATTGAAAGTGGTTGTAGAAAAACTACAGGTAGGCGTTCTATAAAAAGATGTTTATTCAAAGAATATTAAAAGTGAAATCATATATGTACTTAATTTTAATCAAATAATTATAATTAACCTAGTTGTGTGTTGTATTTAATTTTTTCTCATGGATGGTGGTGATTGTTAAGTTATTATTTTCTGTGTTCTATGTGTTTTTGATAGTCTGTTATTTAAACCGGCAATTGTTTAACATTTTAGTACATAAAAAATACTATGTATTTATAATTGCAACTTATATATGCCTGTATATATTTATGTTTGTTTTCCGAATATTGATTATTCTAATAAATAGTTATAAAACAATTAGTTTTTTTTTAGAGTGTTTAATTATGACGTTTCGGAACTAGATATGTTACATAATTAGGTTTTTCTTCAATATTAATCTATAAATCCTTATTATTAATTTTTTTGTCAAAAGCACTCGTAAAAAATTACTCAAAAATATTTACAAATTTTGACTTCGACTTGTTAACTGTAACACAGATTACATTAAAATATTAGAAGTATTAAAAATATAGCTTATAAATAATTTTTAAATCAAATCAGGTTATTGCATAAATATAAATATATAACGACTATAAATATTTTATCAAAGGAATTCAGCAGTTAAAATAATTATTGAAACTTTATTTATTACAATTTTTATGACTAATAATTTATTATTATGAACAAAGATAACAATAGGTACTTGAACTAAAGGTCAATAACACTACATATATACGTTTTATAATTTAACTTTTAATTTATAGAATAGTAATATAAATATATTTTTATGTATTTTATTTTATTTCACTTTATTATAATGAAAATTTTTCTTTTGTTGACCTTTTTATCTAAACTTTTGTATTAAAATTGTTAAAAATACAACTATAATTTAAAATAAATATTACAAGTAAAAAATTGGATATAAAATTTTTAGCAAAAAATGATTAAGAAAAATTTAAAAGAATGAATCAGTATATTGCATGATTATAAATTTATGATTTTATTTTATCAAAAGAGATCAGCAGTTAAAATTGTTATTGAAAGTTTAGTTATTAGATTTTTTATGATTGTAATGATTTATTATTATAAACAAAGATATAAATAGGTACTTATTCTAAAGGTTAATAACACAACATATGTGTCAAGATTTGATTTGTAATATAATAATATATAGTAATAGACGGACCAATTATTTTTTCACAAATGTAGATTTTTCTCGTGAATTTATTTTTTATGGTATGATGCAATTAACCACTAGTTACAATTTGTTCATGTTATGACCTAAACTTTTTTTTATTAATAACAATCAAATCATTAGCTACATTCTATGAGTTATTGGCAATAATTAAATATAAATATAGATAGTAATTACCCCAAGTGGGTATTTACTATCAGATGCAATTTTACTGGATCAAGTTAATCTTCTTACTTCTGGCGTATGGAGCAGCGGAGTACGAGTGAATTGGAGTGATTTTCTAATTTCTGATGGTGATTAGTGGATCTTGATTTTAAAAAGTCTTTAATATATAGCACCTTTAGATCATCATGAAGTGTTTTATTGCTCACGTACCAGGGTGCACTTGTCATCATTCTAAGAAATTTTGAATAGGTTCGCCACATTAGATTTGCTAGAGCAACCCAAAAGCTCTATTTCGGATCAATTGAATACATTATACTTGAATACAGCCTATTTGAGGAATACAGGACAAAATTGTTAGAGGAATGGTACTATATGAAAACTCTGATTAAACCTTTCAATTATATCATATCATTATTGCCAATAACTAGTGGGGTGCATGGCATCATGCTTTAAGGCAAATTGCTGGAACTACCCGTACTGTAATTAAAAATCTTGTTGCGGAACTCAAAAAAAAATGTACACAAAATGTGTACACATTATTAAAATCTCTATAAAATATCTGATAATTTGATGTACATATGTCCAATTAACATTTTTGGCCGCAAAATGTCATTTTTTTGACTTATTTATTCCCAAATATTTAATCAGTGCTTCATTTTGTCAATATAAGTAAAATGTTCTATGATTTATTAAAATCGGACGCTCCGTTCTCTCAAAAACTGAATTACCATTTCTGGCTCTTTTTGCTGCGCATCCTCGAAACGGCTGCATTTTCCTTAGCCACATACTAATCAGCACGTCTCTTTATCAGTAGGAATCGAATGTTTCTTGAATTATTTAAATCGGTTGAACCGTGTTCTCGAAATCGTCGACGAAAATTTGTATCCGCACTCACACACACATGCACACATGCACACATACATACACACACATACATCCATTTTTATAAGGTATGCCAAAATGTTCAGAAACCTTTGCAACGTAAACATATATAAAAAATTTCATTTTTCAATTTTTTAACCTACGGGAAATGTTACGGGAAGTTAAATAAAGTGAAAAACAGTATTTTGATTTCGAGTGCTAATTATGTATGGCTGACAAATTTAATACTTAATAAAACAAATATAAAACATTTCGTTAGGAATGCCACTTTCTTCAATTGATCGAAGGCTATAGTCTGCATGGTATGTGAGGGTTACCAATGTCATTTTTTGGCGGTTGCAATAATAATAGCATGTACGAACCGATTTATGAGCATTGATAGTATTTTTACAACACGTTGTAAACTGAATAGTCCATAATGTTGTCAGAGGTGTTGCTGTTCGAATTGAGATGTCATAGTGTGTTTATTAAAAAATCAACAGATTACGTGTTGCGTCATAATCAATGCCAATCGTGAATAAATAAAGCAATACGAAACGAAAGTAATTTAGAAACTGAATCGACACCGGCGCTGATTATTGCAAACTTAACCATGAATTTTAAATGTTAACCAGAGCATCGAACACGGCATATTCGACCACAACACAACACAATATATAAATATATGATACTTCATTATAATGATATTAAAGAACACACGAAACGGAATCAATCGCTACGCGAACCTTGAATTACCGAATCAATGGCTCTCTAACCGTGTATCGCGATCATCGGCACGACGAATCACGCATGCTATGTAGTATGTACTTACTTGCATGTTATATATTTATGTGCTAATATCTTACATGAAAGTATATATTATTCATATGTTATTACATATGAATAAAACATTGCACGTATATATTACTCGTTTTTATGTGATTAGATATCGTATCCAGGAAATACATTACTGGAAATTGTTTTCGGAAACCTAAATAGAAATATTTTTTAGTTTCTTTTAAATATTTTTTATTGTTATATTTTTCCTTAATTTTTCAAATTTACTTCTAGAGTGAGATTAACGAATACTTATTCTATGTAGGTAATTCATAATTATTGTAGCAATTATAAAAAGCTTATCATAATTAAAATGTACATATTTATGTAGGAAAGTTTTAGGCAACTCAAAATGATTACACAAGGCCCACAAAAAAGTTGAATGTATTGGGTGTGCTGAACACTAATCTAAAACTCAAAATTGGGGGCTAAATGACAAAAAATTGAAAAAAAAAATAAAAAACCCACAAAATCTCCAATTTAATAATTTTTCTGCATGATAATTATAATCTTATAATTTCTGTCGTTCCTCGCCTTTTTTACCCTAAATGACTATTGAGTATTCAATTCACAAATGATCTATTAAATTCTTTTTGGTAGATTACAGCAGTATTTTTTAAACATATTTTCAGATATTCAATTGCAAGTATGTTTGCAGAATTATAAGGGGCAATGTGAAGTAAATATGTTTGCAAATTTCAGCTGAATTATACAAAAAAAACCCTAACAGATTATTTAATTTAAGGCAAAAAGGGCCTGGAACAGAAATTATGAGTTTTCAATTATAACGGAGAAGATTTATTAGATCGGAGATTTTGTCGTTTTCTTAATTTTTGTCCATTTGACCCCCAATTTTGACTTGATTTGTGTTCAGTTTTTACAACATTAGAACATGTCAACTTTTTTTTGTGGACTTGTGTTATCAATTATACTTAATTTTATATAATTTTTTAAAATTAAATAAATAATTCTTTTTAATCAATTTTGTTAAACAAGTCTTTCGTTCATTGTATGTACATACATTGTTTTATGTTTTATAAGCAATTTTTTATGTGTTTTATCGACTGAAGAGTCAAACTTGGACTCAAAACGTAAGGACTTTGAAGATTCAAAAAATTTAAACATAATATAGTTTTTCTTTCAATATGTGGATGCCTGTTAAAAAACATTAACAAATTTAAAACAATTTATTAAATAATATAATATTTTTTACGATATTTTAGTAACTATGTACATCCCATCTTCAGGTCACCTGTCAAGAAGATGGTATTAATTAAAAAATATACAGTAAAGGTTGTATTGAGGCAATATTGTAATGACAAAATTGAATCAAAGATATTATATAGAAATGGTTATGGCATAAAATTAAAATTATTACGGAAATGAGAAATAAGAGGTAATTTAGTTATAGCACTAACAAAATGTCAAATATTTTTTTAATTATTGTAAAAATAATACTAAGAATATTATTTTTGAAAAAAAAGTCTGCGATTCCATTTGGAACATCATAACATTAAATTTATTTTAAAATTATATTTTATTGAAGTGTGTGAATAATCAATATTTCTAAAGACAATAGCAATAATAATTTTATCCGGTTAGAAACAAAATATTTTAGCATTACTTGCACTTATGTGTTATTGACAGTCCTATATTAGCCATTTGTTCTATGTAATAATATGAGTCTCATTATGACTTACAAACTTTTGTGCTACTTTACTAATTTATATAATATTGCTCATTTTTTACATGAAGTACTAATTAATATTTGCAAATCTATAAATCTGATAAAAAATAGATTTATGATAAATATACTTAGAAAACTATCTTATAAGGGCTACTGGCTTATCTTATAAGGCTTAATTGTCTAAAGAATTCTCACATTTATCAAAAATATATTGTGAAAATTATGTCGATGTTGAGGCAAAATGTAAGTCTATATCAAGGAGGAATTTAAGATAATTTAATAAACATCGTTCAAGCA